CCCCCTCCCCCCGACCACGACCACCACTCCATACAGTGCAAACCTTTGATGACATTAATATTGGTGATTTCTTCCCTCCTGCAGAGAAACCTAGGACTCACCCTCGTGTAAAAGTGACGCCCCTGCGTAACCCTGCGGGAGGTCCTGGCGGTTCTGCAGGCCCGCCGGGTCCTGCAGGTCCTGCAGGTCCTGCGGGTCCTGCGGGTCCTGTTGCCACCATTGTGGGGCCTGCTGGCCCCACCGGCCCTGCTGGTCCTGTCGCCACCATCGTCGGCCCGGGAGGCCCTGTCGGTCCTGGCGTGGTGACGGCCAACCCAATGGCCGCCATGACCATCACGCCGACGGTGCCCGGCGGTCAGCCCAAGCCGGACCTGGCGCCGCCGGGCCCGTCCGTCACCATCACACCCAGCACCAAGAAGGGCCCCGGCGCGGCCGCGCCCAGCCTGCCGGCGCACATGAAGACCCCGTCGCACATCGTGGCGCCGGGCCTCCCGCCCTCCATCTCGGCGGTAGCCATCAACCCCGAGACCAAGGTCCCCGTCATCCAGGGCGTGAACCAGCCGGGCATCCGCTCTCTCAAGGAGCTGCAGCAGCTCGCCAAGCCCGGCGACACGACGCCGCCGTCCCCGAGCCGGTCGCCGCACGGCGCCATGCCGCCCCAGCCCATGGCGCAGGCCGTGCCCCAGGCGCAGATGCACCCGGGGCTGGGCGCGCCGCAGGCCGTGCCCACCACCTACGCGTCGGGCGCCTCGGGCCCGCTCATGGCCATGCAGGCCCTGGCCGGGGACGCGCCCGCCTACCCGTACTCGCAGCAGCAGTTCTACCACCAGCCGCCATCGTCTCACCCGCCACACGCGCCCTACCTGCAGTCGGGCCACCCCGGCGGCCACCCTGGCAGTCACCCCTCCGGTCACCCTCCAGGGCACCCTTCAGGCCACCCTTCAGGCCATCCTCCAGGCCATACTCCAGGCCATCCTCCAGGCCATCCTCCAGGCCATCCTCCAGGCCATCCTCCAGGCCATCCTCCAGGCCACCCCAGCGGCCACCCTCCTGGTCACCCCGGCAGCCACCCCGGCGGTCACTCTGGCAGTCATCCCGGCGGCCACCCCGGAAGTCACCCCGGCGGTCATCCCGGAAGCCACCCCGGTGGCCACCCTGGCAGTCACCCAGGCGGCCACCCCGGCAGCCACCCCGGCGGCCACCCCGGTGGCCACCCTGGCGCCCACCCCGCCGGCCATCATCCGGGCATGCCGCCGCACCACCCTGGCGCGCACCACCCGCATCTGGGGCCGCCACAGCACCACCTGGGCCAGCCGTCGCAGCAGCACCAGCCGCAGCACCTTCACCACCTGCTGCAGGGCCACCACGCGCCACCGCCGCACCACATGATGCAGGGCCACCACCAGCTGCCGCCCCACCACCCTCACCACTCCCACCACCAGCTGCCACCTCACCACAACCCATACGGCCCCCCGGCCGGGCCCTCTCCGCCCTCGCTGACGCAGCTGCCCCCGCAGGTGCCATCCCCCGGTGCAGCAGCTGCCGCAGCTGCAGGTGGGCCGGCCCCACCACACCCTCACGCGCCGCCCGAGGAGCGGGGCAGCGAGTTCGGAGGGCTAGTGTCGTACTTCTCCAGTCAACACGACGACATGGATGCCTAGAGAGGGACTTTAGCTATATGTACATTGTTGTTTACATATGTAAATAGTGGATATATAATATTAT